CAGGGCTCTGTGCTTTTAATGCATTGGCTAAGCATTCACATTTGCATACTTGCATAAAGTATAGATTTTTTTCCATGGTCAATATATGCTGCAAAAATAATATAATATAATATAATATAATATAATATAATATAATATAATATAATATAATATAATATAATATAATATAATATAATATAATATAATATAATATAATATAATATAATATAATATAATATAATATAATATAATATAATATAATATAATATAATATAATATAATATAATATAATTCATATTATAATATGTCCAGATTTGTGTTCATCGGAAGAAAGTAAATAATTATAGAATTTTTTGCACAAACTATTATTTTAATATGTACCTCTTTCTTCGGTTTCCCCTTAGGTTTGCTGCCAGAAGCCGATGATTTCTATTGAACAGAAAATGAAATTAACAAACAATTATTCAAGTGTCACTCAGTTGTATGCAATAAGCCCTCCCAAGCTAAACCATTGGATAAAACCAAGGGCGCTTCTATTTTTTCAAATCATTTTCACAGGCCAATGTGGCATTGCATGGCAAGTGCACAGTAGAGGGAGCCTGTTTCTGCACATGACAACAGATGGAGGGGGCATTGAGTTCATTGAGGACTCTTGAGGCAGGAGCTGACAGTGCATCGCTCAGGGCTAAGTGGCTAACAGCGGTTCACCTGCATTTGGTCGGCGGATGAGCTGTCAACGAAAAACCTGCATAACACTATTCATAATTAATAATGCATATGTCTCTGTGTGTTTGCAAACCAGAGACAACTGTGTTGTACTACTCGGCAATAGTGAGAAAAATAGTGTCTATATTTACATGGCTATGCCATAATCACACAAAGAGACTAATTATTCATAGTGTGAGTTAATTAAAAAGAAGAAGGCTTACTCTCTTGGATGGGCCTTTGTTTTTGCTGCCTTTTGGCCGTCCTCTTGGTCTTTTCGCAGTTGGCGACCCACTCGATTCCTGAAAGAAAACATGTTTATTAAGAAGTTGCCTTAATACAATACTGTAATGTTACTAAAACTGGGGATGCATCAACTATATTGTTACTGCATCATTGAAAAATTAAAAGCCCCATGCATTATTATATTCTTTTCGCTCAGAAAGTAAACTGGTTTAATATTGATCACTAATAATTGATCACTAATAACGCAGTATTATATTATACCTTTGGATGTTTCCTTGGTCTTCCTCGTCCCCTTTTCTCAACTCCATCCTTGTCTTTAAGGGAGACTGTTTGTTTCTCTGAATCACTCATGTTTCTTGGCTGTTTAAATGGAAATTAATTAAACAGCCACTTTTATATCCAAGGAGATGCAATTTGAATTGATAACATTACTGATTATCTATTAAAGGGGTCATATGATGCTATTTTAAAGATCATTATTTTGTGTATTTGGTGTAACAGAATATGTTGACATGCTTTAATGTTCAAATACCACATTATTTTTCAAATACTGTACATTATTGTAGGTCCTCTATGCCCCGCCTCTCTCAAACACGTTGTTTTCAACAAAGCCCCCTCCTTTGACAAGCGCAGTCTGCTCTGATTGGCCGAACACCACAAGCACGCGTCGGAAATGTAACGCCCCTTACCATAATCGCTTCAGCTTTCAAAGTAAATATCAAGACAGTTAATAATGTCGTTAGTTTTACCATCAGTTCAAGCCCGAAAGGGCAACAAACGCGTGACAGACACATTGATGATGCAGTACACAAGCTGCGGTTAAGACAGCTGACGTGCTATGATTTCTGACAGGCAGTTCACTCTCCTGTGATGTGACCCTGTTCCCCTCACACACACACACACACAC